TCTTGTTGCTCATACCCAAAGATATAATGTAATACTTCGAACCCAAAATACCATTATAATTGATAATGATGAATTTAATCTATGACTAAAATTAAGTATTCTATACATTTGTTCGCAAATTAATCTCTTAAACAACTTTGGCTCGACTTTGTACTTCCCAAATGATGATAGTACATTTAAGGTTACACGCCACGTCGCTCATGAATTGTAATGGACTATTTTTACTATCGTTTTGCTTGGCAATCTCAGCGGAAGACGTATTCGAGTGGATCGCAAACAAAGACTGCTAATTACCATGTATTATATGGAAATCAGAATCACTCGCATATATAACCCATCACAGTAGTTGGTCGACTTTATTTTATCTGTGTTATCACATTTTAAGATTGCAAAACCTACACTCATTAGATAAACCACCGAACCATATACATTGTCCAGAGCGTGTTATGGTTATAATAAAAATTTCACAAAATTACTTTAAATATTATATCTTATTGTGTAAAGATTTTAACATTTTTTTGATATTTATCTTGGATTGCAGAACATAGATAATTATATTCGATTGACTTCATATGTAAGCCACAAACAATACAAAGAACACAAAAAGTTTCACCTATGATACGGCCTTCCGTACACGGATGTATAATGATTTATACATCAGTCATAAATCACCTAACATGCATTCATGCTAATTCAAACATAAATTGATAGAGCATAAAAAAAAATTTTTTTTTTCTACATAATATATTAAAAATACAGAATATTATATATACAAATAAAAGTTAGACTATGTAATTAATATTTATTCATTCAAAGTTTATTCGTTAATACTAGTTACAAATTGACTCGATCGTTTCGTTATCTGTAACATAACTTGGTAATTTTTATGAATACACTCTTATGCGTTTAATGATAAGTTGTTACCACTTAGGTACACAAGAATAGCAAAAGTTAAAATTAATTTAAACGTCTTACAAGTAGGGGAAAAAAAGAACCATTCCAGTATTAAAATTTATTTTTAAAATTAAATGAAACACTCAAAGAAGTAGAAGTTATACAAACTAACTAAAAAATTGAAAACAAACATAATTTAATTGCTGAAATTATGTTTTACACGTGTGAAAGAAATGCGAGTGAGAGGAAATAAAACCTATTCATACATTAAATACTCGGTCTACTTGAAATATAGTATAATTATACACTCCAAAGTAATAAATTATATTCAGCTATATTAGTTAGAAATAGTTTTAAGTATTTTACATATAAAGTTTAGACGAACAGATTATAGATGCAATAACAATGGTCTGGATGTTGGTTATAAAATTGGCCTGTTGTTTTCATAACATTTTGTTCTCATTTAACGTTAGTATAAACCTTTAGATGCTTATTAAGTTTTACCTGTATTATAATTATTACTATAAAAGGATTATAAATTGTATATTATGTGTACGACAGCACCACTGAGTGTATCATTAACTGACTGAGTTGAGCTTTCAATAACTACTAGATGTGTCATAGAAAACTGCTAAAGCTTTTTTCTGATTGGTAGTAGTTTTTATATGAGTAGTTAAAGCAACTCTCACGAGTTATAAAATTTCCCAAATAAATTGTTTGTTCATTTCATTTAAAGTTTCCAAGTATTATTAAAAAAAAAAAACATTTACTTAACTTGATGCGAATACAATAAAATGAGATGAGAAATTAACTAAAATATAAACATTATTTATCATGTAAAAATTAATAAAAAAAAATTAAAACGTAAAAATTTCTAATGGATTCATAATAAGAATTCAAATAAATTGTTATGCGTAGACTTTATATTAACGTAAGCATCAAGCCTTCTGAGCAAATTCGTTTAATATCATTAAGTCGAAACTGCGTCATCATTAATTTTATTGTTAACATAGGTCACTAATAATATTGAATACATTATACGACAACAAAACGTATTTTACATAACATAATGTACCACATAACGCTGCAAATAGATCGTTAAGTATAATACTATACCCAGTCCTATGTAACCAAGAAACCTTTTTAGATGTAACGCCACTGTGACTAATTACGCATGTCCCAATTTGTCTTGGTGTAAACATTCGACACTTGTTTTGGGACACAAACCGGAAATAGATGACTGGCATCATAAAAAATATATATACTTCTGTTGATTCAACGTTAGTGAATTTTTCTAAATTTCACTAAAATAATATTTGTTATTTATACCATGTAAAATTAAAAAAGTTCATTGTTAAATCATATGATGAATAATAAATACAACAATATATATTGCTTTAGTTACCTTTGTTTGGGTTCAACAATGTAGTCTATAGTCTTTTCAGGATATTCAGGACAGACTGAATGATTTAAAAAAAAAAGTGAAAAACGATAATAATAATAATAATAAGAAAACGACCGTGGTTGATAACAAATTTCTTAAACTGAAATAAAAAAATAGAAAACTAGTGATTGTTTTTTATTTTTCAAGAGAAAAAAATAATTATAGATCACCAAACCATAATAATTATAAGAACAAAATTCTTTGTGGTTTATTAGTTCCAACGAAAATGTTTTCAAAAAAATCATCTTACTTCGGCGAGTACCAGAATACGGAAAGTAGACATATTTTTAAAGGGACTGAATTTTGCTGTGTATACTCTATTTACTGAATTGTACAGTGAAACTATCTTTCAACGGACCCTCTATTAGACGGAAATCTCTTTTAAACGGACAAATTCTATGGTCCCAGTTTTTTTATAGATTGAAATTAACTTCTATTAAACGGAAACTTCCTCTTGACGAAAAAAAGTTTGGCCCGCAGCGTTTACGCTGAAAAGAGGTTTCACTGTACATCAATTTCAAAATTAATTTTATTTGTTTCATCACGATTAATAGAGTTTACACGTTATATTCTTTTTTTAAGTATATGCTCTTAACTACAAAATTAGTTCTGACAGTTGAGCAAAGGAATTGAAATTTAATTTAGCTAAACCTACTTGAAAATTATTTTTGATCGATGAACGCTGTCTATGGGTATTAAGTAATATTCCCACAAACCCGTATAAAACATCCACAAAGAAAACGCCGCTTAAGATGATTTGTAGACGGAAAATTTTTCACACAACTCATACCTCACGAGGGGTAAAATAAGTAAAACATTTGGCATTTCCTGAATTCTGGCCAAGTACCGAGTACGTCTCACCAGCCGACTCTGAGCACTTCATAAAATATTGTGTCTTTAGAAATTTACTCAGAAGCCACTGTGGTAAGTACATGTCATGCCAATGTTGCCGAGTGCGTAATATTTTAAAATGACAATGCTACAAACGTACAACTGTTGTAAAAGCGATCGAAGCACATATTCTGATGGTTCGCATACTTGTACCGACAATATAAATGCTTTTGTTGATTTGAACATCTTGGTGGTTACTATAACACAAGAAAACGGACGAGATCGATTTGTACGATATTCAAACGTTGCTTTCCGACGGCAGCAGCATTTCCTGTTACGATACACTTGAGGATATGTGCAGATATACCACAGCAGTGTGGTATCCGTTAATGTGCTAGTGTTTTTTTTCTACGGCGCGTACGAGTAATCGACGTGTGTGTATGTCGTTTCCGGATTTCGAGCAGCTGAAAAGTCATGGGAAAAAATACACTTGGACTGAACCTCCGCCGGCGAATAGCAAATTCTTCGTGGCCACTAAGACGAGACCGTTTACACCGGTCGGTGACAAATGGCGTCACACACCGTTTCGCATCGGTTCAATAAACCGCATATGTGCAGTATTTTTATCAACGAGGACATTACTGTGTATTATTTGATTACATTAACAATTAGTTATAAACAGAGAGATGAACGGCCCGAGGTCCATCTCCAATTGTGCTGGCCTTTCATGATTAATGACATACAGTTTTTCTGATTTTTTTTTTTTTGGTCATCACTCTGTTTATGGTAGCGATATTTTTGATAGGGGTAACCTTGCCGGTTACAGGTTAAACTTGACAGTTACACATTAAGCATCTTACACATACATAAATACATGATCAAATCTAATAGATTTCTATATATTACGCATTTGAATTTAAAATAAATAGGATTATATACATACAAAAAATGCGATTATTAATGAACAAAAATACAATTATTAACATTAAATCAACGTGTATAGTTGATTCACCGTTGTAATGTGTTTTTTTCATAGGTGTAAATAGAATAACATTTTTTTGGATGTAATAAATTAATTTATCTCCATAAAATATATTTTTATGCAATAATAAATATAATTTTCTACATTTTTTGAGAAGGGCTCATTTTTATACTTGGACAGAATACTTTTTTAAATCTTATCTAATATAAATTATTAATAAATCTAAATCATACCATTTATGAAGTTTTCGATACTTGAGGACTTTGAGGGATATACATTTGTTCTAAATGCCAACATTTTGTTATAATAATGAATTTTTCAAATATTAGTATTTGGTGTTTTGGTAATTTATTACATAATTAGAAATACTTAAAAAATAAATTGTACAATGCAAAATGTGAAATTTCAAAATAGGTCATCTAAATCTTAATAACATTCTATTTAAAATGTGTAAAAATTCAATATACTTAAGCTGATCATTGTTAGCGCGGTCAGTTTGTATATTTTAAATTATCCTCTAAAATTCAACTAATCAAAATTATATTCTATTGAAGTGCTATGTGTAGAATTAAGAAAATAATATTTTGTATAATTTATATATTTAAACTAAGCATGAATAATATACTGTTCACCTATTTATAGTAACAGATAGAGCATTTTTTGATAATCTGTGGTTTTTTACATACAAATGAGGCTTTAAACTACGAAGGATAGATAAAAACAAGTTCTTCCGTTACATACGAATGTATTTCACTAATACAATTGTATCTAATCACCTTACATAAACCTTATTAATCGTGAATAATAGAAATTTGTACACCAAAAACAATAGATAAACGAATAAAGCTTTTCCAGTACTATTGTCACTATTCCAATAATTATGCAAAATTTTAATTTCGGTAATAGGGCACCTTACGATTTCAAAGCAGTAATAATTGAACAACTAAGCGACCATTATTAAATCGCTATGAAAATTAAAATGTTATTTTTCAATCAGAATTTCCTGAGTGCATTTTATTTTATAATACCACTAATTCTACAACTCATATGTCAGGTAAGAAGTGTTGGACATATTAAAATTACATACAAATAGTTTGTTCATTTTTTTAATAAAAACTAATTCTAAGAATGCATGTCTACAGTATTAGTACAAGTGGAAAATAAACAAAAAAATTGAAAATTCTTCCTGTAGATATCTATAAATTATTTTTTTTAACTTAAAAAAATATTTGTTGAGGGGATGAAACCCCTAAACACGTCCTTGCTGTTAAGTAAAAATAAATTTAGGGTAGAAAAAATAAAATATAGTGCCTCATAATTTTTTTAGCTTTGATGCAAAGCCAAGAAGGTATTAATTTTACTATTATGTGTGTTTTTTTTTGTGTCTGTTACCACTTTTCCTCAGTTCTTAACAAACCGATTTCTTTCAACAATACTTCAAAATATCACAAATCGTATCTAGTCGAAGACATTACCCTCAAAAATCTTAATTTTTGACCTCGTTCACCGAAAGTAGTGAAAATCTCCCAAAAAATTACGATTTTCAGAATTGGTAAATAACGACATTTTTTTCTTCTAAAAATTGATTTAACATAACATTTTTGGTGTTAAAATTTACGATTTCATATTTTATTTTTTTAACCTTAAATTACTGTAAGTTTTTGAAAAATGTATGGATCAATACAATTTTTTTTAGAAATACTTTATGTTTACTTCTTTCATTTGACACTTTTTTTAATTTAAAATTAAAAATTAAATACTATCTACCGATTTGCATCGAAGTGCTTCTAATGATAGTGATTTTAATCACTGTTAGATATTATCTATACTTGTCTCAACTATTCTCTTTCTAAAGCCTCTTTTTCTTGATAAAAGCTGTCTTAAAATTTAAAGAAGTATACATCTAAATCTATACTTCGGTATTTTAACATTTTTTTTTTTTTATTAGACGATATAGTATTTATAATAATGAAGGTAAAAACTTCAACTAGAGCCAACGATTCAATGAGATGCGATTAGGGGATACCCTTGTTGACATTTTTCGTTGTATATTTTGGGAACTTTACATGATTATTAAATTTAAAAATTATTTAACATAATATATTGATATAATTTATACTATAAATAGATACAGATAAAATAGTATTATAAAATATAAGTGTCTTAAAAAAAATAAGTTAAAGTAGCGTATCGAGGGAGTGGAACGAAAGGGACTGCAGCTCTTTCATTGGCAAATAATTATTTACAGTATATGAATTTGGCGCTAGTAAGAATATATGATAAGTAGTCTTTATAACCCCCTTAGAAAAAAGTTACTTTTCACTTTTATTACTTTTTTAGTGAGTTTAACTTTTAATTTAACAAGTTATTTTTTAACTCAAGAAAAGTATTAATTTTAAGAATACTACAACATAGTAAAAATAAAGTTACCCTAATTTTAATTAAATTAAAAAATATACATAGGTTAACTTTCAACTTATCATACTACTTTCAAAATTAACGTCTTTGACGGCTCAAATACAAATCATTAGAATATCTTGAAATTATTTCAAGTATTAATTATACCATATTTAAGAAATATTTTAATATTCCTTTAAGGGAGTAGACCTGTTTTCATAATAATAATTTTAAAATTTTTCTTTCAATAGATATTAAAAGAAAAATTGAGTACCATTGAAATTATTTTAAATTGAATAAATTCTAATTTATTTAATTTGTCTATATGTCTATTAATAAACATTTAGGCGGTCTACTACTAATTTATTAAGTATACTATAGCTAAACTACTGTTATTTAATTTTCTGTCATCTTAATAAAATGACATTAATTATAATTCGATTCGGTTTTTTCATTAAGGTTTGCTCATTCAGTCTAGAAGATGCACTTATAAAGGCAAATGCTGAAGGTTTTCCTACTGAATTATTGTACAGTGTGGCTGGTTTAGAAGGTCGTTCAGACAACGTCAAAGAAAAATTAGCAGCTGCTTTGGAAAACCCCGAGGTACAAGAAGCAGCGCGTAAGGCAGCTATAGAATATGCATTAAAAGATATTACAAACTCAAGAGAAAATATGGTAGGTTATTGTCAGTATTCATGGCTTAGGTGGTTACCATTTATGAACTGTGATGAAACAGTTTCATCAGAAACCCGAAATAATCTCCAAATACTCAGCACTAAAAGAAATTGTGTAAAAAAAAAAATGTAGTTTTTAATTTTTTGTTTATACTAATTCTTTAAAGTTAATACAATGATACTTCTGAAAAACTTTATTTAATGGAAAAGGCACAAATCTTTTTTTTTTTATAAATCACTGTTAATTTTAATAAAAATATATTAAACAATTATGTGAGTTTAAAAATATGAACTAACTTATAGACAAGTTAAATATTAACATTAAGGAACCTAGAACAAATAGTGTTTTTTAACAGGACGGCTAAAAAAATAAGAAATTAAAAAAAATCATACTTATAATATTCTAGTAAATATACTAATAATAATTTGATTTTCTTCTGCTTAAGATAACAAAAAAAAAAAAAAAAACAAAAATAAATAATTAACATTTAATAACACTATGCCAAAACTTGAGTCTAGGCAAAGGTGATGTGTAGATATTCAGTACACAAGCTTATTTTACTGACTAAGGCCAGCATCTTTAGCCATTAAATAGAAAACAGAAGATTTATCTTGAAGTAAATTATTAGGTGAGTCGTATTCAATCATTTGACCATTATCCAACACAATAACCCTATAACAATATAAAAGAGAAATTAAGGAATTTATATAAGTTTTTTAATTTATACAAGAAAAGCCACTGCTACCATTAAAATAAAATTGTCCAAATAAAATTTATTATAAGGCAGATAACTATAAGACAGAATTAGTATTCTAAAATAATTTAACACATAAATAAGTTTTTGATCATTGAATGTATCTTATGACCAAGTGTTTAACTATAATTTGGTGCTACACACTACAAAACTCAAGCAAATAGTCTTACTAAACTTTTATCTATATATAAAAATAAAAAAATCATTAAATTTACTTGTCTGAATCCATAATAGTGTTTAGACGATGAGCAATTGTCAGTACTGTGCAGTCTTTAAATTCTGTTCGTATTGTCGTTTGTATTAAGTCGTCTGTTTCCAAATCAATTGCTGCTGTCGCTTCATCCAAAATCAACAATTTAGTTTTTCTTAGCAAAGCTCTTGCCAAGCAGACAAGTTGTCTCTGACCAACACTAAAGAATAAAATACACTTAAATAAAATCAATTATCAAATTAATTAAAATTTAATATTACCTTAAATTTTCTCCACCCTCTGAGACTTCATGATCTAAACCACCTGGCAAATTTTTAATATGTGCTTTTAAATGAGCTAATTCTAAAGCAGTCCACAATTGATTATCAGTACTTTTATTTGTAGGATCTAAGTTCATTCTTAGAGTTCCAGAAAATAATACTGGGTCCTGTTTTTACAGTAAATAAAATATTAATTTTAATTAAAATAATTTCAATTTAAAGAATTCAATCAACTAATTAATTACCTGAGGTATAATTGTCAAACGACCACGCAATGTATGTAATCCAATATCAGATATATCAACTCCATCTACAATTATACTACCTTCAGCAGCTTCAACAATTCGGAATAAACTTAAAGTTAAAGAAGATTTTCCAGCACCAGTACGCCCAACAATGCCAACCTGATAATATTGAAGTAAAAATTAATTTTAACAGAAAAATAATCATTGAATGTAATATTGAAACCATTATCCTATCCAAATAAAAGAGATTAACATAAGTTTAATATAGTATTTTTAAAGAGCTTAAAGAAAGAGTTGACTAAAAATCTATTAATATGAATTGTTTTTGGAGACAATGGTCAAATAAAAAAAATTGATAATTTATTGAGAGATAAAAAAATTAAAATTTAATATGAAATGGTGAATGAGACTCTTTATAGAAACAACATTGTTACCACTAAAAACAGCAAAAATGACCATTAAAGTTAATAAATAACCTAAAAATAAAAAATTTTTAACTAATACCACCACTTCACAAAAATTGTCCACATGTAATGTACCACAAATTAACTAATACTTAAGAGCTAAATTTAAATAACAAATATTTACTTTAGTGCCTCCTTCAACAAATATATCTAAGCCTTTCAATGCCAAATCTAATCCTTCACGATAACGCACTTTGAGGTTTTTAATTTGAAGTTCACCACGTGAAGGCCAATTCTTAGGTACTGGATTTGATGGTATAACCCATGGAGCTTCCTAGTATGAATAAAAAAAAAAAAAAATATTAGTTTTAAACATATAATTAAAATTATTAAAATAATATACTTGAGGTGTTTCTCCATATTCTTTAATACGCTCTACGGCAACAATGTTTGTTTCTACTTCAGAAGACATACGAACAAGCCAATTGAGAGTTTGAGTAATCTATGATTTTAAAATAATATTTACCATTACTATTATATCATTGTAAGGAGTAATTTTATTAAAATATACTACTTATGACAGTATCCCAAACTATTCACAGTATGTACTAAGCACTGTCATATTATAGACTAAGCCATACTATCCATTTAATATTAAACTAAAAATCAATGTTTATACATATTTAATTAATATTTACAAGATCTTCGTTAATTTTAAAGCATTAGCAACCTTTTTTAAATCACTACTTTAAATAACACTTAGATAAATATTTTGAATCTAAAGACCCTTGCATGGTTATAAATCTCCAAAATGAAATTCTAAGATTGGGTCTATATCATATAGTACAAACATAAAAAATCTGTTTTATTTAAGATGATACTCTTATATTTCTATTAAACAATAACTTTAACAAGAAAAAACAGTTTTTTTATTAAATATTTTACAAAAAATATTAAGGTAAATTTTGATAGATCTATAACAATTTACTACCATTTAAAATATTACCAAATATTTTATGAAATTACATTTAAATAGTTACATAAGTAGATAGATTAAATATAAAACATAGTTAATATAATATATAAATTAGATTTTTATTTACTTATAATTTTACTCTAATAAGTGATTTACTATTAGTCAATAAATTAAGTACACACCTGAAGAGCATAACTGATAGATAACCCAACAATTCCAGGACTTATTGTATCTTTACCCATTACAGCAAATAAAGATGCAAAGAAAATAAGTAAATTACCAATCGATTCTAACCTCACAGCTAACCATCTATTAAAAAATAAAATTTTATAAAAATTTAAACATCAAAATTCTTGGATGTAAAATTTATATACCTGTTAGACACTGTACTTGGATAATAACATGTTTGATTGAAATCAACTTTTTGTTCAGATTGAAGTATAAATTTAGATTCAACTCCATATGCTCGAATAGAGGCAGCGCCAGTAACAGTTTCACTGAAATGTGAGTAAATTGGAGATCGTGATACAGATTCTAGTCTTTTAAGCTGCCTTGAAGTAGCAACATAAAATCTCTAAAATTAAAATATTTTAATTTAAAAATAATAAAAAAAATAGGAATACAAATTGAGTTTTAACTATATAATTTTAAAATTACTTGAATAAAGTAGTAGACAAATCCAATTGGAATAATAACAGATGTAAATATTGGAGTACTATAACTTATGACAAATAAAGTACCAATAACCTAATAAAAATAACAAGATTAGTTTAATAAACCCAGAATTAAAAAATAATAATAAAATGGATGAAAGAAGCAAAAGCATATAATTTAAATTACTAAAAATAACTTAAGTATAGGTGCGTTGTGTTAATAGTGTTTCATACTATGTGTATTATACATGCAAGAATTTATTAAATAAATTTTAAAACTTGAGTCTATCCCTTTGTAATTTGAATAAATTTATAAGTAACAAATCTACTGTATGAAACTATAAAATGTAAATTGTATATAATTAATTATATTTGATTTATGTAAGTTATTAGAAATTCCATAACTAAAATAAATACATTGTTTTTTAAATATTAATAATATTATAAGTAAATTATTATCTAAAAAGAGTTGTAGTACAACTTTTTAAAAATTATTCATTTCTAATAGTTAATAATTTTTTCAGTATAAATAAGTATATCAATAAATAACACAAATTATATATATTATGAATACAACACTGTTTTTTTGCTGCGATGCTAACCTTGGTATAATTAGCACATATCGTTTTTGGGAGCTATTTTATTTTCTACACTCAAAAATGTATTTATACACATTTTTATAATTTTTAGAGAAATAAGCTTCCCAATTTCTCTGTTACTAACATCGATTGTCATTGATCAATTAAAATACAACATACTTACACTTTTAACAATTTCATTATAGAATTTAATTTTTTATATATTTTACATGAATACTTTAGATAATAAATTATTTTATCCAATATTAAAAACATTTAATTTATAAATAGATTCAATGTACATTATTATTTAAAAATTAATAATAAAACAAATTATATAAATTAGATCATTAACATGATTTTATTTTTTTTGATACACAAATTACACCAAAAATAAACTCAATATCAGCATAAGCGAAAGAATTGCGACTAGCTTAGTATAGTCAAAGAAAAATAATTTTTAAGTGGAAAAAGTTATAACCGAAAATAATACATCTTCTATCAATTAGAGAGCCTAAGAAAAATATTTCAGTTGGTCAATGTTAGAGCAAGCTCTGAAAAGCTTATATTATTATAAAATATTCCCAATTTATATAAGTAAAAAAAATTAAATAAAACTTTATAAATTAAAAAGATTTATGATGATTGATTCATACAGTATATCTATCCGTTGTGATTGTTATTACTTAAATATCAATGAAATGCATTACTCAAAAGGATAGCAGTTACAATATGAAAATAGTAAAACAACATTTTTCTTTAAAAAATGTACAATTTAAGATTTTAACCAAGTTATGTTAATACTCAATAGTTTATACAAATCAAACATACATCTACAAAGCAATACATTGTATCAGAGAGTTGTTGATAAAATTTGTCAACAACTTCAACATCACTTGAGAAACGAGACAATATTCGTCCAATTGGTGTAGCATCAAAGAGTCTCATTGGATTTCTCATAACATTTGCTGCCATATAATTGTGTAATAAAACAGCTGCTCTCCATGCACCCAAACATAAACATAAATCTGCCAATGCTTCGAAGATTCCTGTAAATGCCGACCATATCAAAGCAAATAACTAATTAAAATCTTAGAACATTAAAAATGAAAAATTATTATAAAAATATATTAACATAATTTTTGTTTGTATTATGTAAATTATAAAACAAACATTTTAAAGGATATTTATTTATAAATATGCTTTGTATTAGTAACACAAAGATAGCTAAAAACTAATATTACATTAAATTCAATATTTTTATTAACAAAATAATAGTAGTTTATGAAAAAGGTAATTAAAGAATGTATACAATCACAAGTATAGGTAATAAAATTAATATTTTTTATCAAATAAACTATTTTTAAACAGTACATGCAATGTAAAAATTAAAATGGTATAATTTAAAATTGAGCTTTAAAATTAAAGGATTAGTTCCCCATAGATTACTCAAAAAACTAAGAAATTATAAAACAGAATAATGTAACTGAAAACAAAATAAATTGAAAATTATACTTTTCTATTCTATACAAAACTAAGAAAAATAAATAATTATATTTGCAATATTATATTACATGTATAATAATTTTTCCATATTTTAATATCTCGACAAATTTTATACATAGTTTCATTTTTATTTTACCATTATTTACAAGTTAAGAATAAAAATAGTTTCCTGTACATTTCTTTGACACACATATGATGTAGATTCATTTAAAAAATTATCTAATCCGATTAAATATTTTTATTGAATATCCATTAGATGTATGTTCATTTGTACAATTAATATATATATTTTTTTGCAATATGAAAAAAATACATTTTTTTAAAAATTTTATCTCATACATAAGAGCTAAATTTGTTTATAGTGCTTTTTATTTGTATAATCTTCCTCTAAATTACACAATTTGTATTAAAAAAGACAACATTACCATCATATATATTTTTGACGTGTATTGTTTCATTTTTAAAAATGTGCCACAATATTCAATGTCAAGTTTTTATAAAGACCAGAATACATCTAGTGACCTCATTAGTTTACAGCATAAAATATGATACATTTCATTTTATTTGTGTTACTTTTTTGTACAAAGTTACTTAACTTTTTTAAACACTTTAGATAAACATAACATTATTTACAAAAATAATAATTTATTATTTAATATAATTTTTGAGTTATGTTTGTTTATTAAACCTAATAATAATAAATGGTTTAAAAATCACCATAAAGCAAAGAGAATGTTAAAATATAACTACAAAGCATATATAAAATGTAGGAGATGATAAGTAAATATTTGTAAATATATTTGGTTGAACAGAATTATTTATCCTGCCTATCCTAAGAATAATGCATTTCTTTCATTTTACTCATAGAATTGTTTATTAAAAAAAAAAGTATTTGATAACCATTTTTACTGACTTACCATAATTAGACATCTGTTCCAAGACAGCAATATTGGAGGCAACGTTATATCAATTACATCAACATCTTTAGCAACTCTATTTAATATTCGCCCTATAGGCGTTACATTAAAGAAGCTTGTCTTAGCGTGCATTAAAGTTTTAAGCATGCTATCATGCAAAATTTGAGAAGCTAATAGACAACCAACATAAAGTGCAGTTGTCCCAAGTACTACTGTTAATACTGTAAAATGTATGGTAATAATATATTAATATAAAAAAATAATTTAAAGTAGAAAGTTTTTATAGGTTATTGCATAACAGCTTATGAAGAATTAAGCATAGAAACAGATTTAATTTTCTAAGCTAACTCCAGTGGCATTAACTTAATCAAATTTACATTTTTTTTTTATTAAACTTTGTCTCACAATATTAATATTTATATTTATAAATGTTATTTTTTATATAAATTTTAGTTATTAAAATAACAATTAATTAATGAAGTTAATTATGATAACGATTAACAACAATTAGTTAAGCCACTTGAGTATTGTACTTAGTAATAATATAAGAAATAATACAATAAATAACTATTAAGCAAGCGAATAATCCCAAGTATTATAATTTTTTTTCTGTTCAGAAACAGTATAAAATGATAAAATGATGTTTTTTAGTTATTATAAATAAATGATGGAGATTTAACATAACTGTCAAAAACAAAAAACTATTTTAAACATAATCAATCGACTAAAAATTGTTATATATTATAATAAAAAATTATCTGCACATTATAATAATAATATAATATTATAACATTTTGTTGTAATTTCTACTTTCAGGATTAGTTTGATGTTTAATGAATATCAATTAGAAATTTTTTTCTTTGTGTAAATTAAAAAATTAACATAGATAGTAGATCTCTAAAAATATAGTTTATTATTACATGTGAAATGTTCAGCAAATAAGCGTTACCCAAACAAATAATTGAAAATTAAATAAAAATTTAGGACAATATTACTTAATAATTCAAAATTAATTCCTCAGTTCATTAATCATAATTAGTACACAAATAAAATTCATTAGAATTAGAAAGTTAATTCCAGAAAATTACCTTCCATAAAAAAATATAAAATAAAAATAAAATTTGTATTATAAAAACAAATTAGGACTTAATTTGATTTATGTTTATAATGTACCAAATATGATTTAACTATGAAAATAAAATCTTAGAACTGATGTATTCACCAAGCATAACAAAAATTTAAACTTTTCCATTTACCCCACAAAATGTTCCTAAAGAAGAAGACAAATTGAATTGCAATACATTATCAATGGTGTCAACATCCTTAGCAGTTCTGTTTAAAATACGTCCAATTGGTGTTGTATCAAACAAACTAAGTGGGTTCCTGAATATCCTTTGATTTAAAACACGAAACAATACATAGGATGCTCGAGTAGTCCCCAAATTAAGACATAATGCCTGACCCATTGTTGAGATAGCTACCAAACACCACAACATAAATTATGTTTAATAAGATATTTACATTAATCAGTTAATAGGTTTATTTATAGTACAAATTAAATGAATTAACATCACTAAAACATAACTCAATAAATAATTTTTATTGGACTATGTATATTACCTATCAATTGAAAGATAATTCACTTTCAACAGTACTGTAAATTAACAAACATAAACACAAAACATTATTGTAAATTATCAAGTGCTGAAGAAGTTAATAAGCTTATTAAAACACCAATTTACTAAATATACTAACTAATATAAAATCAAAAATTATTATTTCATAATATATACATCAAGGAATGTAATAGGAAAAATCTAATCAAGATTAATTAAAAAATATAATCTAAATAAAGAAAAAATTCTTTAATTAATAAATAACAGCAATGTAATAGATAAAAAAGCAAAACTAAATTGAAAAAAAGCTTTTTACAGTTAGGTTATAAAAACTTAAATAAAATTTTTGTACGAATTTACCGAAAACATAGTCATACTAGTTGACCTTAGAATAAATGGCAACAAATTATCAATTGTGTCAATGTCCTTAGATACCCTGTTCAATATACGACCAGAAGGTGTTGTATCAAATAGACTTAAAGGATTCTTGAAAATGCGAGCATTGATCAAATGAAACAGTTTTTCAGCAGCTATTACACAGCCTAAAGATAATGATGTTGCTGATCCTACTGTTGAAATGGCTACCAAATCAAAATATTTTTACATAATTTATGTATTTTGGTTGAAAATAAGTCTAATATAAATCAATTTAACTATATAATTGTAAAACTACTAATATTTAATTAAAAATCAATTAAAATAAAATAAGAAACATATTGCAAATATTTATGTAATCTATGTTGAACTAAACCTTGATATATAAAAACTAACACATAATAAATTACCAACATGGCCTTAACATAGCAACAAATAATTTTCACTATTTTTTGAGTATATATTTTATACTAGCCTATACTTTATATATATGTTGACACTAATATAATATAAAATATGTAAAACCCTCATCTTTATAACTTAAAATTACTTTATGGTAAATTGGTAAATATACATTGATCAAATAAAAAAATTAGTGTCTTGATAAACAAAAACTTTTTATATAATAGTGTTACACCTATATTAATCTTTTCAGTTGTTAGGCACAATGTGCATATCAAAATTTTGGTTTTTCATACCCTAAGTTACTTTAAAAGTTGTAGAATAATGCAACCAACCTTATGTTTTCTTGTACTCAACATTTTAACATATTCACCAAAATTTACATCATTTTTGACTTAAGAGCCCAATTATTCAAGTCATCAGATCATCTTTCTTTTTCAATTATATAGTACATTAAGTAAGCTATAATTTTATTTAATTTTTAACAATTAAGTTGTTTCATTGCTATATAAAATATTTCAAAATCGGCCATTTTCACCAAAAATTTTATAATTTACAGGATTAATTTAACTCTCTAAGATAAGAAAGAGTGCCACCATCCTCTGTAGCATGTTAAGTTTGGGAAATAGAAGGATGTTAAATTGATTATTTATTTTGGCTAAAGTTTGATGTAGGTTTTGAGAAGACAGGTTTTTTGGGGACACTTTCAAAATTTGAAAAGAATCATTGTTTGTTAAGATTTTTAAACCTCCACAGTATATTGGTTAAAGATTGAATTTTCAAAAATATATGCCTTTGGTAAGGTTAATGTCTAAAAGTATTTTCAATAAATATTTTACAATGGTTTATCTATTTATAAATAAATTATTTCAATATAAAATAAAAACTAAAAATATTAAAATTGGTTCAACAATTTCGGAGCAATTGTGACCAGTGACAAAAAAAGAAACTAGACAGAGTAGAATTGATTATTAAATAACTGGGCTCTTAGCAATGTATTGAAGCTAAAGAGATAATATTTTATAGAAAATATTATTTACTGACACTAACAAAACAATATTATGCTACATCAATAATTTATATATTACTTAATTTATTTTATAATTACATATAAATCAATGTACTTTGAAAAAATTACTAAGCCTGATTTAATATGTATAAAAAAAAATTGATTTTTTTCTAATAATAAACTCTTTTATTTTGAGAAACTTCAAACATATTTAAATTATTATAAATTTAAATATAATAAAACAATATTTAATTATATATTAATAATATAAGAATATATGAATATATTATAATAATTTGTTATAATATATTTATAAACAGTAAATGTGTTTTGAACTAAAAATAAACAGCATAGGCTGGGAAGCTATATTATGAATAAATATAGTTTAAAAAAACTAAAAAACACGCTTTTAAAGCACATTGAACTAAAAAGTTGAAAATAATTTTTAAAACAATATTGAACGAAAAGTAGTAGAATTATTGTGATAAAAGCG